GTGCACTACGTGCCACAAGGTCCCCAAACGACCCTCAGCAAGTTTTGAATTCAGAGTTGTCTTTCTCCTAGAGCAGTTGCCATCCAAGGCTATTACATTCAGTTACGTGCTAATAACCTTGGGAAAGGAGTGAATCCTATTCTTCTGCCTCCAGCTATGGGTAAATAGAAGGACAAATTGGGTTATATATATATATATATATATATATATATATATATATATATATATATATATATATATATATTAAATTAATTGATTTAAAATGTGTTTTTTTTTACTTTGGTTTTTTTCAAAAAATTAAACATGGTTAGAACTGTGTAGCGAAGAAACATATTTTAAATCAATTAATTTATAATATTAATGCTCTGTAAATTCACATTGAGCACTATTTTGTAAAATATCTATAATAACACCGGATTATATATCTTACTTTATATATATATACATATTTATATATTATATATATATATATATATATATATATATATATATATATATATATAAAAACATAGAAGGTTGATTCTTATATTCGGCATTAGATTCAGAGAGGAAGTTTTAATGAATGTGTCATGTCACATATTCTTCTTGTCTCCTACTGATGGCGTGTCGTAGAGTCATTCATGCGTAAGAAGGACAATCATTTTTATCACAGCAGGTGTTCACTGAGGATCTGATTTCTGATCTCAGCTCTGGGACTTGGCTGCTGCACCGTCTCAAACTTTGACAACCCACAGAGACAGCGCGGAACATTAAGTTTCAACTTGAATGATAGGATTAATTTGGTCTGTTCTTGTTTTTTCCATATCATTTTACACAGGAGGTGGTCTCTAAAGCGCTGATCATTCAACCTTGTGATCAATGGTTGTACTATGATTATTTTCATGTTCTATTTATTATCACCAGAAAGATCCGTAAAAATGTTCCTATTTTAATTTCATGATGAATCTTAATTCTTAAGTTAATTATTAAATAAGCGAATTCTACAACAATAAAATATTCGTAAAAATTCGCAAATCCGATCGTTAAATATTCGAGCTGAACAGCTGTAACAAAATATGGCAATAACGGTCATAAATATGGATGCCGGTCATTATTTTAAGAAGTGGGTAGAACTTATAGTATTTGAAATTGAAAACTTTTTTTTCATTTTACTGAAACAGAGATTAAGCATTTTTTTCATCTTTTCTTTCTTTCTTTCTTTCTTTCTTTCTTTCTTTCTGTCACTGAAACGAATTTTCTTTCTCGTCATTCCCCGCGATTACAAACGGAATAATCCATTATTTAACAGGTACTAACAGGAGACGATATACGCTGCTATCTTGCTGCTATATTGTTGCATTCTGAGTCGTCTCGGGCTCCCAACGCTAATTTTGGTATTCGTTTTAGCAAACTGGCAGCTTGGATTCTAAGAGGCAGTAGAGGAATGACATGACAGGAAAGTATGTTCACGTTGGCTCAGCGTCTATTCGCGAGTGGTATTCAGCGATCGCAAATTTAGGTGTGGGAGGAATATCTACACCTCAGAATTCTCGAGACCCTCAATTGAATTCGCACAGTTTTGTACATCAAAACCCAGAAAAAGGCAATCTATCATTATCAAAATGCCCGACTGATTCACTCCGGTCAATCGCTGACCATTCTCTTTCATTCATTCGAAATCTGTAACATGGTCAGGAGGTTCTTCGTAGCAGAGAGGTCAAGGCACGTCGAATCCTGCCGGTCGGCGAATATTTTTCTAACAGAATTTTTTTGAGATAAATAAACATACTGTTTAATAAATTAGTAAATAAAAACAGAGCATCTCTAGAGTAAAAACAAAGTATCCATTAAGAATAAGTTTTAAACAAATAAATTAGAAAGATGATTAATAAATGAAAAAATCCATTGGTATATATATATATATATATATATATATATATATATATATATATATATATACTATGTGCGATGGGCAAATTGTCAACATTTTATATATTATTTTCGTGCATGTGCGTTGTTTGTTTTTATTTTGTCGACTGTACAGTATTGTAGGGTCAGCTAGGCACCGTCTCCGAGAAAAGAAGCACAATACACTCTGCCATACATTTGGAAATTACATGCTGTACTGCTTGGCATTCTCGCTGGAAGCTCCAGTACGAACATTTCAGAGTGATTGGGTGACAATCTCAGAACAGCGCTGAGGCTTCGGAAAGAGTTGGTTGCGTCTAATGGTGATTACGGTGTTTGGAATGATCACTTCCCACAGAGCTTCAGACTCAACTCGGAGGCCGACATGAAGTACCTTCAGGAGGTAGTGCTGCCTTAGGTAAAGAGCGGGGCTGCTGGTAGACAGTATGTCTAGCAGCAAAACTCTTCCCCATGCCACACAAGCAAGAGAATCCATTCATGGCTGTCAGAAAATTTCTGCGACCACATCACTGCTTACATCCTGCCACCTAATTCCCTTGATTATTATGTATGGGCCGCAGTTGAAAGAGAGACCAACTAAACTCTTTATAACACCAAAGATTCCTCAATCCAAGCCGCTATCCACTACTCCACCGTGCCTCATATATAGATTGCGTCTAGCCCCTAAGTGCTGACTTCTATGTTCACTTTTATATTTACACACGCTCTATCTCTGATATTGAGCACTTTATCTCATAAATATAGCACACCTTAAGCCTATATAACTTTTTCTCGGCTTTGAATTTGTCCTAGACTGGCTACAAGCTAAGGCTAAATATCCCAGTCTACCCTGTCATTTAACACAGATCTGTACGGAGAAGACATTGATACATACCTTTTACAAATGCATTCGTGGGAAGCTAACATGACACACTGGGTCAGATATGCTGAACGATTCTGATTATAATGCCACCCGGTATAAAAACTCTATCCTGACTGATATGGTGTTAGATCTATATATATATTCATAATGCAAAATTATTTTACATATATTCTAGGCCTACAATATCTTCTGGTGCCTTAGCTCAAGGAAACGTCAATGCTGGTATTCAACCATTCCGTAGACTGGCAATCTTATTTAGCATTTCACAAGTCAAAGAAAAGCTGTTCTAACTGAAGCTTTTTATCAAATAACGGAGAGTTGCCTCAGGCTATCTTCAGGGTAACGTTTGTTGACAGATATAAGGCTGTACGCATTTTATTCTTAACGAATACTGAAGCAGAGCAAACAATGTCTTCTCTTTGAGTAAAAGGATGTATTGGGAATAGCCATTTCTCTCACAGTATTGGTAAAGATATAAGCCTCTAAGATAAAACAAAACAAAAAAACAAACAAACAAAAAAACAAACAAACAAAAAAACAATAGCTTTTATATGGCTTCCTGCTGTCTCCATAACGTTTACTTATAAAACATACACTTTTGAAGCTTCATATATCTCTTGCTTATTCGACTATTATTTTCAGTAATGCCATGTTATTTAGTAAACACAAATCGGTAAGTAGGTGGAATCATTTTCACTATACAATAAAAAAAAAATCCTGAAGAACTTGTGTCATAATCATAGTAATTTATCCTATCCTTGGCCATAAATTGAGGGACCAGTTCATATATTGATTATAATAAAGAATTAACCCTCCTTTTATATCCACATTATGATCTTTTGTTTGTCTATCAAATTCTGATCAGGTATGAATCCAACTCTTCCCCCAACCTATGGGTTAATTAGTAAGATTTGCATTACTACATCATTATTATCTTTAAAAATTTCTGACACTCGAAAAATATTTCCTGCAAAGGCTTCATAAACCGTAGAAGACGAATCCGTCAATCAATGTAATAATGATTAGGTATACAGGTATGTTTACATATTCTGGGATATAAATATATAGAAACTACCATAGTCACAAAGTGAGGGATCAATCCATATATTGATGATAATGAAGAATTGATCCCCAATTTATATTCACATTATAATTTCTTGTTTGTTTATACTGAATCTACCTCTTCTCCCCTCAGCTATGGGTTAATTAGTAATTGCATCACTAAACCTTTATTATCTTTAAAAAATTCTTATAATCCTAAAATATATTCGCGCTTATTCGACTTTTTTTCCGAGTAATGCAATGTAATTTAGTAAACACTAATCTGTAAGTAGGTGGCACCTAGTGAGAAACAATTTCACTATACAATAAAAGAAACCTTGCGTGATTATCATTGCAATTTGTAGCCGGTGTTCTGCGCTAGGTGACCAGGATTGAAAAAAAAATATTTTTAACATGTCCATCTTTTTTTAAAAAAATTTTATAAAATTGGCAAAACATAATTTTCTGATTTTTAATTTCATTCAATTTGGCCTTGTGCCAGTCAAAACTAATTTTGAAATCAAAATGAATATTAAACTATCATGACGTCAATAATTTAATGAAATAAAAATAGATTTTATTTTAAAAGATATTTATAATGTTGGCTTTTATTTCTTTAGAATGTTGGGAATGTTATTGGCATTCTGTTGTCCTCACGTGACCCCTTTGCCATAAATCATACTGTTTTAAAGCTTGCTGCACTTAATGTCTATGTAAATTTATGCAAATAACAAGGGTGGAACGTTTTGTTTGTAGCTGTCTTTGAGTCTCCTGTTATTTCTCGGGTCGTTCCTTCCAAACGGATGAGGATGGTTGAGTGGAATTCTTCATTTTAAATCTCATTTCTTTTGTTTCTTTTTTTTGTCCTGTTATCATTAATATTCAAAAGTTATTTTGCAATCATCATAAACACACACACCTACTCATACACACCCAAACAAAAGCACACCCACAAATCAAACTGAGCGTAAACGTGCCCTGTTGCTTTTCTGAAAGTAGAACATGCCTATAAAAAATTTCGTAAACAGAAATAGCTTAAATCGAATAGCTTTTACTATTAATTGAGAGGTGAGAAAGTTTTGGACGTTCCCAGACTCTAAAAATGAATATTGAAAATTTCACTACGAGTGACAATCTTACAATGATTACAAAATCAAAAAGAAGAATTTAATTTGGAAAAGGCACATAGGCATAGATATGCTTCCACGATTTTTTTTTCTGTCGACAACCTTCCTTGTTTCCTTCCACCGTTCTTTCTTTGCTTCTTTCTATCCTTCCTTTCTTTCTTACTTCTCTCCTTCCTCCTCGCCTTCATTCTTTCCTTCCTTCTATCTATCATTCTTTCATCCCTTCCTTCCTTCCTTCCATCCATCCATCCTTCCTTCCTTCTCTCCTTCCTCCCTCCCTCGCTTCCTTCCTTACTGACTTACTTACTTCTCTCCTTCCTTCCTTCTTTCCTTCCTTCCTTACTTCTCTCCTTCGTTCGTTCGTTCCTTCCTTCCTTTATTCTTTCGTTCCTTCTTTCCATCATTCTTTCCTTCCTTCCTTCTTTTCACCCTTCCATCCATCCATCCATCTTTCCTTCCTTCCTTCCTTCCTTCCTTCCTTCCTTCCTTCCTTCCTTCCTTCCCCTTCCTTCCTTCCTTCCTTCCTTCCTTCCTTCCTTCCTTCCTTCCTTTCAGCGTTTGAGGCTTACTGTTTAACTTCAGTGATCACACGGGAACCAATGTTTCAACGTGATCTGGCCGTATGCGTCAAACATTTCTTTTGGTGGGGACAGAAAAAAAATCGTTCAAACTTATCTCTGCTTATGTGACTTTTCGAAATTAAATTCTTAAGAGGGACAGAGAAGAAGAAGAAGAAGAAGAAGAAGAAGAAGAAGAAGAATCATTTACATCCATGAAATCGAGCACCTGATAATCTTTTTTCCTTGGTGCCAGATTATGAGAATCACGCGTGCTACTAGATTGACTTGTGTGTCACACAGTTTTAATTGTGAAATAGATAAATGAAACCGCCATTTCTACTCGAACAGTTTATTTTAACATACTTCCCACCTGTGGAAGTCCCTTTAGATTTCTTCATTCCCTGTTACGTACAATCTTCAGAAAATTAAATGCAATGTCAATCGTCATTTTTGACTTTCTTAAAAGCTGTTCTTTTTTGTCCTTTTCTCTATCCTGCCCATTCTCAGTCTACTCATTCTCTTTCACTTTCACTTTCACTTTCACTTCCTGTATCCCCCTGCGTTTTAATGTCATTACCGACTTGCTGGGGGTTAAATGATTAATATATATATATTCCCTGACGATCCATTTAGGTGTAACCTAGGTAGGTTTGTCTGGCTCACTAGGTGTATCTATATATATATATATATATATATATATATATTCCATATGCGGATAAATAGCAGGACAGACTGGGTTCTATAGCTTTGGGTGGCAACTGGTCTAGGAGAAGGACAACTTTGAATTCAAAACCTACGGAGGGTCGTTTGAGGACCCTGTGGCACCAGGTCTCTGTAATCGGCCCTTAAAAAAAGTGGATGGTCCTGCACGAAACCTTCATCACAATAATCAAGTCTCATGAGCTGTTGTCGGGCTGTCTGTTTCCTAGGAAGTGATCTGCTTGACCCTCATACGTCGAATTCGACGGGAGAGTCGAGTATATATATATATATATATATATATATATATATATATATATATATATTTCAGTACTACGCGGAAATTTCTGTTTCGGGAGTTAAATCTGTTCCATTATCAAGCGATGTTGGGTAACTTTTTGATGAACACACACACACACACACACACACACACACACACACACACACACACACACATATATATATATATATATATATATATATATATATATATATATATATATATATATACAATTCCAGTTGTTTTCGCTATATTGATTTATGCGTAAATACTAAGTAGTATTTACGCGTAAATCTTAGTATGAAGCCACCATTTCTCCGCCAGCCATGCTTTAATTAGTAAGACTTGTATCACTAAGGTATTATTAACTGTTATATACCGTATCTATGAACACTAATATGTATGTCTCAATCCTCATGAATACGTTGGACACTATTGTAAGTCGGGGTAATATGCTGTATAAGTAGTCCACCACTAGCAGTGGTTTGCCTACTTCACGCCGCTGGCGAGTATTGTATTTTGTTGATGTTATAAAGATTATCATTTCATTTCCAACCTCCGTTTTGGTTATTCATCATTAAGTAACCTTTTCTAGGTTACGTTATCTATTCCCACAAAATGTCTTACAATTTAAAATTATTTTCTGCTTCTAAATAACCTGCAAAGGGTTGATAACACGTAAAAACGAATAAAAAAAAATCTAATAATTTCTTTAAAATTTACGTCAGTTTTCTTTCTTCATTTGACCTTTCCACTCATCTTCTTTTCTTTCTCCTTTCTTTCTTTTTTTTTTATTCCTCGTCTTTTCTTCCTTCGAGTTTTTGCTTCTTCCTTCCTTCCTTCCTTCCTTCCTTCCTTCCTTCCTTCTTATTCGTTTTTCCTTTCTTTCTTTCTTTCTTTCTTTCTTTCTTTTTCTTTCTTTCTTTCTTTCCTCATTCGGTTTTCCTTTCTTTCTATCTTTCTTTCTTTCTTTTTCTTTTTTCTTTCTTTTCTTTTCCTCATTCGGTTTTCCTTTTTTTTTCTTTCTTTTCTTTCCTCATTCGGTTTTACTTTCTTTTTTTTTTTTTTTTTCTTTTTTTCCTCATTCGGTTTTTTTTCTTTCTTTCTTTCTTTCTTTCTTTCTTCATTCGGTTTTCCTTTCTTTCTTTCTTTTCTTTTCTTTCCTCATTCGGTTTTCCTTTCTTTCTTTCTTTCTTTCTTTCTTTCTTTCTTTATTCGGTTTTCCTTTCTTTCTTTCTTTCTTTCCTCATTCGGTTTTCCTTTCTTTCTTTCTTTCTTTCTTTCTTTCTTTCTTTCTTTCTTTCTTTCTTTCTTCATTCGGTTTTCCTTTCTTTCTTTCTTTCTTTCTTTCTTCTTATTCTTCCTTCATTCCTTCCTTCCGCGATCCCGCACTTCTGTTCTTTTTCTTTCCCATTTTTTCTTCCTTACTATCATTGTTTCCTCCTCTCTGCCTTCTGTATTCCAGTCTTTCCTTTCTCTTTTTCATTCTTCCATTTGTTTATTCTCCCAACCCACCTCATACATTCCTTGCTTCTTTTATTCATTATTGATTTTCTCCAAATCTGCCTAATCTTTTTTCAATGACGATCCTTCCTTCCTTCCTTCCTTCCTTCCTTTGTTCTTTCCGCCCTCATTTATCTGCCTTCTTTTCTCTCTTGCTTTGCTGCAGATGCCTTTGCTGTGTATTTTGACTTTCTCATCTTTTTCTCTTTCAAGCCTTTTCCCTTTCGTTTTTTCTCTACTTTTCTGATTTTATTTCTTTCCTTCTTGCTTTTCTCTTTCCACACTACCTCCTCCCTTCCATTTCTTACTTTCTTCCTTTCTACTCTCCCATCCCGTTTTACTCTCTCTTTCCTATCTTTATCTTTTTAAACGGTTCTTTCCTCCCTACCCGCCTGTCACGCTTTCTACCGTCATCTTTTCTTTAACTCATTCTTCATTTCATTCTTCGTGTCCTCTTTCTTTTCATTCGATTCATCCTCTCTTTCTCCCCACATTTTGCCTTCCTTCCTTCCTATTTTATTTTCTTTATACGCCTTTCTTTTTTCCTTCGCCTCAGAATTTCTCAGAAATTCACATTTCACAAGAAATTTAACTCACACCCACACAAGCTACCCACAAACTAATTTGTGATTATAAACATCTTTCTGTCTCCAGACCCCACAAACCGAACGCAAACTGAGAAACCCTCTCCGCACTTAATCCTTACCTAAAGTATTGAATAAATTTAATACCTGCCACGGTCTATGAGTGTCAGCCAATTGATTTGCGTTTGGATTTTGATATGGTTGCCTTTTTTCGTTCTCGATTCATCAATGCCTTCGTCGAATGAAGGAAACATTTCCAAGTTGAGCATATTGATGGATTTCAAATTGAAAGCTTCGAATAATTTTCATATTTTCCTAAAATTATTGCAGAATTCTTTTTTTGCTGCCACAAAAGAAAAGGTGAGTATGAAATTAAAAATAAAAAGCCAAGCTTCAGGAGAGTAGATCGTGGCGTCTTCTCTAAGTTTCTCCGCTGACATGATGTAGAAAGATTATATTGAATCACTTGCAATATCTGCTGCTAGGAAAGTTGATTCACTGTGTCATGCTAGACAACATTTATCTCTAAAATCTATCTTACATATTGATGAGTCTACCGTTCGTCCACACTTTGAATATTGATGCCAATTCTGGTTTGAATCTTAGAGATTCTTGATAAAATCTAAAGAAGAATCAGCAATGTTAAAGTGCAGTGGTTAACAAAGTCATTTCTCAAGATCACAATTAATGAGATCGATTCACGGTGGGGTAGCTGTCTCCGATCTATTCGTTCAGATTAATTCATGCTTAGTAAATCTCCGTGACATGGTCGCCAATCCATCTAGGATAATTTCTTCTCTGAAATCAAAAGTTGAGTAAGAAACGGCAAACTGCCTTACTGTCTTTCTCGAATAAGCGTAGAGAAAAAAAAGTGGAATGTGTGGAGAGCCGTATCCTGAATGAATATGTCATTAGAAAAATATAAATTCACCTTGCCGCAGATTCAAGCTGATCGCGGAGGTCATTATTAATGTGCAGAGGTTCCCAAAATCTTTTTCTCTGTGCCGCATTTTCGGAAATAAAATTTGTTTTCACCTTGCCAAATGTTGTGATAAAAAGTACATTTAAAAATAACAATAGAGAGAGGGTTAAAGAGAGATAACACCGGATTAGACGTCAGAACATTATCATTGATAACTCTCACCTCCAATTTGCGGACTTTAGTTACTATATTCTTAATACTTGATATAATGCAAAAATATCACAATGATAAAACTGGTCAATGATTATTTATGACTATTTATACTCGGACTCATGTACGCAATTACAAGTAATCATACTTATTATAAAACGCAGATTGTGTGTGTGTGTGTGTGTGTGTGTGTGTGTGTGTGTGTGTGTGTGTGTGTGTGTCTGTACGTTAATATATTGGATCGGATTTCCTACATTTTTCAACCGATTTCAACAAAACTTCACAGGATTACGTAAAATTACCTTGCGGTGGTTCTGACAGCGCCAAAAATTAGAATAAACACAATTGTTTTTGCACGAAATCAATTTGAAAACACGATTAAGAAACATCACGAGAATGAAAGGGGACAACATCATCGAGTTATACTTATTATAAAAACCCAGGTTGTTTTTTGTGTATGTGTTCGTTTATATATGGGATCGTTTCCTACATTTTTCAACTGATTTCAACAAAACATCCTTTTTTTTGGCAGGTAGTGTTTCTTATTGTCTTGCACACTTTTTTCTTTATTTTTACATTCAGAATGCTTTAAAAATTCCATTTACAAGACAATTGTTTATAATAAAATTCTACTCAATCGGTAGACTCATAACGATTGAAAACAGTGTTTTGTTTGAGTTTGGGTTTGACCAATTTGTAAAAAAAAACAAACACAAAAAAAACAACTAATTAAGGCATGCGTGTCCGTCAACCTTAAACAATAATCTTTGTCAATTTTATTTTTCAGTCTTTATGATGGTCGATACTTGATCTATCTCTTACTGTTACATCCCCGGGCAACGCCGGGCTCTACTGCTAGTCTATAATAAAATTTTAAATCATAAAATCATTTATTTTTGGCATATGAATTTTTTGAAACTGTTTCTAAATCTTTAATTGTCTTTCAATTATTCCGACTCATTTACTATCTTCTTCCACCATACCTACGAATTTTCCCTAATCAATACAGATTTAACTTGTTCAAGACTAGAGTTAACCCTTATATTCCCTCCTATCCGTATAAACTGCTTTATACTCTGTACCCCTGTACCTCGAGTGACCACTGGCTTTATACTTAAAAACTTACTTAAAAAAAAAAAAAAGTTTGGTCATCCAAATTGGAAATATTACGTCATAGTAATTCTCGTTTTAGGGAACAAGTTTAATTAATAATATATTGTCAGAACAGAAAAAGAGATAGACATTAATAATGGTATATAATAATTTTGATACCAATTCCACTGACGTATCTGGTCTATAATTTATTTCATAAGATTAGATTCTAATTCAACGTTTTTAACCTGTTGGAATCCTTGAAATAGTTTTCATATCTCAGAGAACTCTTGAATAGAAATTATTATATACCATTATTAATTGTTGAAAAATTTATCGTTGAAGCCCTCTCTGTTTAAACAGAAGCACTTCGTACTGAGCCACCAACAAATTTCCATCTAAGCCATATTTTTTTCCCAATTCATATTGTCCATCTTTTTTTTTATTTTTAAATTCTATTTAATTTATTAACCTCGATTTAGCTCTGTTGAGCGAGGTTCGAAACCGGTGAGCTAGCCCGTTTTTAAGTTTTACTTTTTATCTGTCATCATCATCAGTGGAAATAAAAATAATTTTTGTCATTTTATGGCAGTCATAAAATTTTGTACCACAAAACATAACTTTAAATAAATGTATGCGTATGTGTGTTGTCCTCATCTTTGTTGTCATATTCAAAACGTTTCGACCGTTATACTCTTCGGTCTTATTCAATTAAGACAGCTTCATAGCTAAAAAAAAAAAAAAAAAAAAATTTCTTCAAGTAATCTTGACCCAAAGAGTTGTGAGTTCAATACCTGACCACAGAACTTGTAAGAGTGAGTTAAGAGAACTAATTGAAACTGAGATATGAAGAAGAGGCATAGCAAGTGTAACTAGAACAATCTACCACAGTGAACGTTCGGGTTGAAATTCTAATCACCCGAAGACGGATGGAGCGTACAACGGTCGAAATATTGTGAATATGACAACATCGATGAGGACAACAAATAATTGAAAAGGTTTGCAGAATTGCTGGTTGATCAATAAGATCTTCAATTTTTTAAAGCATTACCCCCCCCCCCGAGCAAGGTGTGAAACCACTAGGATGCAGGGGGTTGCAGAAGATTTGGAGCAAGAGCAGATAGGAGTGATAGAAGAAAGGATGAGGAGAGGGATAGTGGGTAGATCAAAGTAACTGGAGGTATCGATTGACATGACATTTGAATAGTTGGAGATTATAGCTCTCAGGAAAACAATAATTCGGAAGGGTGTTCCACATGTGAGAGGTGCGAGGTATGAAGTTATTGGAGTAGAAGAGACGGCTACATTTAAAAGTTTCTACAGTGTAAGGGTGGGATCGGGATGCCAGCCTCGTAGGGCGCTTGAATTCATGGAGTCTGGGAACCAGTGAAAGTAGCTCATCGGAGCAATTACCATGAAAGTATTTGTAGAAAAGATAGAGAGAGGCGACGGCGCGTCTGTGAGAGAGTGACTGTAGACGAGACGCCATATCAGGGCCAATTATATTACACATCCGTCTCTGGATCTTGTCAAGAACTCCGAGGTAAACAGAAGGTGCCCCAGACCATATATGGTAGCAATACTCAATGCAAGGGCGAATGGTTGATTTGTATATTTGAAGTATCGATTCCGAGGAGAAAACAAGTTTTAAACAAGAGAGAAAAATTAAGCCGTTATCAAAATGAAATAATTTTCTTTTCTTACAATACTTGATTCATAAGTGAATAAATATCCCAAATCCACCAAACTTCCGACCCTTAAAACGCGTGAAGATAGTTACGTACGCAAACTAGTAAACGTCCCCTTACCTTGAGGAATGAAAATATGACAGATTTTCCATTATACTAAAAAGTCTGATTTAATTTCTCTTACTAACTAATCAACTAATGGAACATTTCAAGGTGATTGAGCCCTATCATGTTACTCATGTGTAAGTTGCATTTCATCCACGCTGGCTGCGTTTCATTTCTTTTGTCGCGTTGAGCAAGCGAGGTTTCTAGAAAGACTTGTATTTCTAAAATATTTTAAAATTTACCTTGAAGAAGGTAGACATACTGTTAAACACTATGTCTTTTCTTAAATCGCGTCTTCTCTAAGTGTTAATAATAATAATAATAATAGTAGTAGTAGTAGTAATAATAATAGTAAGAGTA